TTTGTCTGCATATGTGTTGTAGCTCACCTCGTGTTATTTGTCTGCATATGTGTTGTAGCTGTCCTTATGTTACTTGTCTGCATATGTGTTGTAGCTGTCCTTATGTTACTTGTCTCCATATGTGTTCTAGCTCACCTCGTGTTATTTGTCTGCATATGTGTTCTAGCTCACCTCGTGTTATTTGTCTGCATATGTGTTGTAGCTGTCCTTATGTTACTTGTCTCCATATGTGTTGTAGCTGTCCTTATGTTACTTGTCTCCATATGTGTTCTAGCTCACCTCGTGTTATTTGTCTGCATATGTGTTGTAGCTCACCTCGTGTTATTTGTCTCCATATGTGTTGTAGCTCTCCTTATGTTACTTGTCTCCATATGTGTTCTAGCTCACCTCGTGTTATTTGTCTCCATATGTGTTGTAGCCGACCTCGTGTTATTTGTCTCCATATGTGTTGTAGCTCTCCTTATGTTATTTGTCTGCATATGTGTTGTAACTGTCCTTATGTTACTTGTCTGCATATGTGTTCTAGCTCACCTCGTGTTATTTGCCTGCATATGTGTTGTAACTTTCCTGATGACATTTGTCTCCATATGTGTTGTAACTTTCCTTATATTTTGTCTCCATATGTGTTGTAGCTGTCCTTATGTTATTTGTCTCCACATGTGTTGTAGCTCACCTCGTGTTATTTGTCTGCATATGTGTTGTAGCTGTCCTTATGTTACTTGTCTGCATATGTGTTGTAGCTGTCCTTATGTTACTTGTCTGCATATGTGTTGTAACTGTCCTTATGTTATTTGTCTCCATATGTGTTCTAGCCCACCTCGTGTTATTTGTCTCCATATGTGTTGTAACTGTCCTTATGTTACTTGTCTGCATACACCTCGTGTTATTTGTCTCCACATGTGTTGTAGCTCACCTCGTGTTATTTGTCTCCACATGTGTTGTAGCTCACCTCGTGTTATTTGTCTCCACATGTGTTGTAGCTCTCCTTATGTTATTTGTCTCCATATGTGTTGTAACTGTCCTTATGTTACTTGTCTGCATATGTGTTCTAGCTCACCTCGTGTTATTTGTCTCTACATGTGTTGTAGCTCTCCTTATGTTATTTGTCTCCATATGTGTTGTAGCCCACCTCGTGTTATTTGTCTCCACATGTGTTGTAGCTCTCCTTATGTTACTTGTCTGCATATGTGTTGTAGCTCTCCTTATTTTACTTGTCTGCATATGTGTTCTAGCTCACCTCGTGTTATTTGTCTCCATATGGGTTGTATCTCTCCTTATGTTATTTGTCTCCACATGTGTTGTAACATTCCTTATGTTACTTGTCTCCATATGTGTATAGCTCTCCTTATGTTATTTGTCTTTATATGTGTTGTAGCTCACCTCGTGTTATTTGTCTGCATATGCAGTTAGCTCTCCTCAAATCTCACGACACCTGTACCCAGTACCACCAGACACACTCTCACCGATCTAACATACAGACACGTGTGGTATTCAGCCATGTTCACAACATGGCAGCTTGTGGAGACCGCCGCCATCACGACGACGTCCACTGTGTCATCACGTCACAGTGATGTTGGTCTTACTGAGGAGCATGGACAGTTGCTGCTGATGTGGAAACACAAGGACAGCATGTATTTGAAGTGATTCACTTACCTTCCAGATGCTGTCATAGACAAAATATCAGTTACAACCGTCTTGATTGCTGGAAACAATCTACACAGTCGACCGCCTGCTTTAAACATCTTTATTGTTTGTAGATGATATCTTACACCGCTCTCGTCAATAACCCACATCGCCAATACATCACGATGGTTTTGTTCGTTTGTCACTTATATCACTATTACATCCGTATGACGGCGGTCTCTAAAGAATCGACTGGATTAGACAATCCGGTGATTGATAGATACATCACGGCTGATACAATGACGTAATTTCAAAAGCACATGAATTTTCCTGGGACGATATTGATGAGGACGAACACGGCCAAACACTGCTACGTCTACCGCTAAGATCTCCTCTACAAACCCGTGAATATCCGGGCTAGAATTGGTCTTCAGTAACCCATGCTTGTCCTAATAGGCGACTAACGGGATCGGGTGGTCAGGCTCGCTGACTTGGTTGCCACATGTCATCGTATCCCAACTGCGTAGAATGATGCTCATGCAGTTGATTACTGGATTGTCTGGTTCAGACTCGATTATTTACAGACCGCTGCCATATAGCTGGAATATTGCTGAGTGTGGCGTTAAACAACAAACTGACCAACCAAACAACCTCATCTAAACCCTCTAATTTCAAAGATGCAATGTCATTCTATATATTTTCTAGTTTACGTCAATATCAGTCTGTTGGTCTGTGATCAAATACACCTGTAGAAGACAAATACCTACGAGATGTCACTGGAAATAGCGACCATTCATCAAAAACACTAATTGTAGGCCAACATCTAAGCACATTCAACAATTAAGTCCAATGTGAATATATACGTTTTTGTCAAAGAAAGCAACACATAGACCCATCATTCAATGTAGTTGTGCTGATTGCCCAGTATATGTTGAGGTATAGCGTTCCGTTAGTCTGTATAAGATTGAACGTTTCTTTACACGTGTAAACACTGACACACAGGGAATTGCATTCATCAGTCATCGCGTAATTATACAAAAAATACCAAGACTGGAATTGTGAGTGATGAATTTTGTATTTTTCGCCTCTTTAAAGACTACCGCAGCATTCTCCTTTCGGTTGGCACCAACTGTTTTCTTGGTGATTCGACGTGTATTCGTGGAAAACATCACACAAAATGTACATGTAGGTAGTGTACTTCTCCCTCATGGAGAGAGGTTGCCTCGTGTATTCCTGTCACTGCATGTTACAATAGCTGTGTGTTATTGCTGGCCATGTAAAACATGATGCGGTGTCGCGTCGTGTAATGTAATAATGGTGTTGTCGTTGTTATCGTTGTATTTGTTGTTGATGACGTTTCGATTGTTTAATTAACAAATGCTGAAGAGAAAGATTAAAATTTATATATTTAATCAAATATTCATACATGTAAGTATATCAATAGCAGCAGTATACATTCCGATGGCCATATTCTCGTTTCCGTCACGGAAGGGACAAAAGTTATGTGCATCACGCATATTTGTGTAACGTCATGTTCAAATCTAATGTGCGGAATTTTACCCAACAGGCGAAGCGTTTGAGAAAAGATTGTTACCTTGTTGTTTGGCACAACATCAGTGACGCTTTATCACGGCGGTCGATGAATTACCACCAATGTCTCTCGCTTCCGAGTAAAGGACACGGCTCTTTTCAACAAATGGTGTTTCATTTGAATTTTTATAGACGTTTATAGGCATTTTATTAGATTCGAAATAATGCTGATTTCTTTACTTCTATTTATGTATATTGTATACTCGCCCGTGCAATGAGTTGTTAACAAACGTTCATGGATATTTTTCGCTTCACTATCTCTATTTGTATTTCTTTGAGTGGCATGTTACAAGATGGACAGACTTCATGAATAACTTCTCTAGTTCATGAGTGCAACGTTTCCATACAGGTTCTTGTACCGTTGTCAAGCAGGAATTCCTCCATAAAGTTTGTTCAACATTGTCTCTTTATGCCTGCTGTACTTATTGTACTTTGACGGCATTATCAAGTTGGATATTCCCAACTTCAGCCTCACTAATGACCTATCCGTTTCAATGATGTGTATAGCATGTGCTGTAAACAGCAGGAATTCGAAGATCTGGCACTTGGCCTCTCATGTCTAATGAAGATATTTCCACTCTTGAAAAATCCACTCTTAATGCAGTTTTAAGAAAAGCAGAAGTCAGAAACACACCTCTCCTCGTCGTTCTGGGACAAGTTCGACATGATGCCCCCTGTAGATATGCTTCAGTCAGTTAACGTACATAGAAACATCATTTGGTTGTTATGGCGACGTTTTCAGCCACGCACTCAAGTCATATACCGTCCCCTATAGTGGCCGTCAACCAGCAACAATTCCACGTCAAGACTGATGGATTCCAGACCGACGCACCTCCGACACAGGCTCCGACACAACCCCTAAAGTCCATACCAAACATTGTAACAGTGGTATATCTGCGAGAACAGTTCGACGACGTCCATGCGTTTACGTCAGCCCAGCCCAGTGGCCACTTCTGACGTGAGACATCGACGTCGATAACAGTGCTGCATCAGAGTCGTCGCCAGTGACTGTGATTGAGGGGGACTTGAATGTTGTGAGATTGCTTTACCGTTTTTGCAAACCCCAGGGTGATGTTTCAACACGCTAGCGCCAGACCAGATGCTGCTCGAGTTGCACAGCAACAACTATAGTAATCAGAACAATGTTTATGTGTAACACTATCTGCAAGATCCCTTCATTTCATTTATCATCCATTGAAATGGTGAGACACTTAAGTCGTCATCCGAATCCTCCAACTATACTGCCAAAACTCTTTCCTCTGACATCGAATGATCTTTCCCAGGATTTTAATCGACGTTTTGTGGCCTCAACAAGGCGAATGTACCAGGCCTGGACATAAACTGGACACTACTGACCGTATGAAGATGCTTGTGAACTCTCTCTTGTGTTGTGGCTCATTTGCATATGACAGGTGCCCTGTTGTTAAGGATTATTGATCGTTACCATACCTTGAAACACGTGTCCTTCCATGTGAAACCATTTCATTCGCGGCAGTAAACGTTTCACACTGATTGTTTTTGTTGTTTGTGTGTCCCAATAACTTCTGGCTTTGAGTATATGCCATTTATATGTATCATTATTGCACGCAGGTTTGCAAAGAAGAAAGCGTGTATGTACCATTCCCAATGCGTATATGTACCATTCCTAATGCGTGTATGTACCATTCCCAATGCGCGTATGTACCATTCCTAATGCGCGTATGTACCATTCCTAATGCGTGTTTGTACCATTCCCAATGCGCGTATGTACCATTCCCAATGCGCGTATGTACCATTCCCAATGCGTGTATATACCATTCTTAATGCGTGTATGTATCACGGCTTTACAAATGACAAACCCTCATCTTTGGTGTAAAGAAATGAATTAAATTCTGTATATCAATATCACTGATGTACACAATAACAATGGGATTTTGCTTTAGTTCAACGACACAACTGCGATAATATAACATTAATATGTGATTTAAGTTTGTTAAAATGCAATATGTGACCTTATAAAATCATCACTAATTCAAACCGACAAATTATTGTAATTTTCCTGAGTGATTCTTTCCACGACAAGTCTTGTTCAAACACGTGCACATTCACTGTCACTTCTTTCAATCGATGAATCAAGAATCCTTGCATCCTCGTGGTTTTTCAGCCATTTTGAACGTACGTATATTCTGAGTATGTGGGTGAAATACACCACCAAGTACAAACAAGGTAGAGCCACAAAGGTGCTCAGAAACACAAGAGGTAGAGTCCGCTTCAGTTTGGACCAATCAAGAATCTTGTAGATATACGGTTCTCCCTTGTCATTGGTCCCTCCAAGTATGTGATATACGACACTGAAAACTGTGTAGATGACGCCATAGATTACTGGGTAAATCACGTGATACACACGAACCGGCATGGCGATGACGAGGAGGTTGGAGAAGACGTATATGGAGTTCATGCCGTGGAGGATGAATCTTAGTAGGGTCAAGTGTTGATCTGAAAGATGGTCGAAATATATATATCTCACACGAAGTCGTTCCCGATTATCAGGTGACTAATTGGTAGAAACACAAACACAAGTACTTGAACGATAACACGAATCAAATTCAATTAACTTAATTCACGTGAATGGACATGACATTAAGAAACAACAATGTACACACCCTTAAAAAGGAAGATCCAGTAGATGGCGCTGATGTGTAAACTCCCTTCAGTGACGACACTGTTGAGGAGCCAGGATACCTTTATGTACCACGGCAGATGTGACGTGTAACCTGAAGACGGAAATGTGTTAGTGTCGTTATTTCTTAGTTTTCCAATGTTTTAAAGTAAACTTGGACATTCCGAACTACTGCGTTGTCCGAACACCCCTCCTTTCATTTTTGGAAATGATCACGTGTTAATATATGTATTTTGCATTATGAGGACTTGTAGTCGATCTGTATGTCCATGATGATATTACCCTGTTGAATTGTTCCTCGCGTTCTATGTGGATAAGTGGCACTTGTAGCGAGGAATGTTGCCATGTAGACATTTCCTCCAGCTAGAAAATGCAATAGTGCGTTCCTCCTTCGCACTGATCGTGATCGATCATTGCCTCATTTGTCAGGACTACAGTCAGCCCAGTCGACTGAGCTGCACGGAATTGCGTCCCTTGGACACTACGGGAACATACTGCAGTTGGAAATAATCCCAAAACACCCGATTGTGGTTTTAGGTTTGTCAGATTTATACCGAGGCTTCACTAGAACATTGTTCAAAGCAATCATTCACAGGGTGGCTATTCTCGAAAGTGTCCCAGCTAAGACAGATCCTAACTAGTTAGGACAGGAGTTAGGACATCCTACCGTTAGGATAAGACCCATTCTCGAAACGATCCTATCCCTGTCCTAACTTGAGCTACCGATCCTAGTTAGGATTGCGAGCTCTTCAGTAGGTGAGATAGAAAAACATTCATTAATTTGGGGATTAACCTAAATATTACCCATGATTCATTCCATAAAAAGCACATATATACGGGCAACTACAATCTCGTTTACAAGATAAATGGTAGACTAGAAATCGAAGTAAAAAGCTTGAAAGTGGTGAAATTCAGCTTTTGGTGCATTTAGTATAACTAGAAGAAATTATAATTAATTATTGTTATAATTAAAATACACATCTTGTATCCAGAAAAATAGAGAGAATTAGTACTTGCATAGATTTAACATATTTACTGAGATTTTTTAATATCTCTTTGTTCGAATTACCATACAGTATTGTTATATGTTAATATATTCGATATTTTCATCACATTATGGTACTTTTGAGGTTTGTGAATATTCATTTATTTGACAAGGAGATAACATTTTTACTTCAGAATTTGAAAGTCTGCCAAAAAAGCAAGAAGATATGTCCAAAAAATATTTTCATTTTATTTGTTTTTTTTTAATGAAAATCATGAACTCTTATTATGTGTCATCTCACAAACTGAAAATTCACTAAGGAAATAAACAGGAGTTACTCCCCCTATCAAGTTGGCCTTGACATTGACAATTCACGGCAATGTGACAGAAAAGAGCAATGTTGTGATTAAAATGGCCGAGAAGAGGTAAGAATTGAACAAATGTCTTTCGTAGATCTAAAGAAAATGTGAATTGCAACAAGTGTGTCTATTCATGACCGATAAATTGATAATCTAAGCACAAAGAAGTCATAAAAACTATGTGCTTTTGTAAATTCAGATGTTATTTAGGTGAGTTATTTTGTTTGACAACGTCAAAACTGGTGAACAAACAAGAACCACACCTTGTTGACTTCCACTAAGATAGACTTAGGACAAGTCAGAACCTAGTATTTGTCCTAAGTTAGGATATCCTAGCGCTAGGATACTTTTTGAGAATAAGGTAGGACACCTATCCTAGACCCTAGGATCAAAGTTAGGATATCCTAGGGCTAGGATCCTTTCGAGAAAAGGGGCCCAGATTTGTCAGCATTCTCCTTCTTTTCATATATAGCCCAAGTCAACGACCTGTTTTACTGGGTGTCCTAGACCCGCATCAGATAGTCCTCCTCACTCAATCACTCTATGCTCGTAATGTTTGCAGGTCAAGCCGGACTGTAGCGTGTAATAGATACTATACAAATAGTAACACCTGATTATTACTAAGTAAACCATTTACCCTTTATAATGTCCTGCCTGTTGATCCTGACGAACACGACGATGACTGCGTCCAGGACAGCACTGATGGTCAGCAGGAGGTAGGTCCAGTTGGTGAGGTAGATGAACCACACAGTGCCACCTAGCGGTGATGACGTCACTTTGGTGGAATACACCATGCTACTGACCAGCCAGGATGTATGAAACAGAGCCCAGAATATCCTCCAGGACAGGTACAGACGGGGGTGGCCCCACTGAAACAGACGTTATACAATCATATCAATAGATTGAGTACACTCACGGCACCAGTCCAGCTGTACATATAGATCTCGACTTCCACGCACAAGGTCTTCTGCAGGTAGGGGAAGGCCTCACTACAGACCTTCCGTCATTCACGAGCATACATTCTCCATTAATTTTTGCCGTTTTCATTTTTGCAAGTATTGGATTATGTTTCAACTTGTGACAAAGAAGTATGCCATAAATATCTGAGCACTTACACGTAAATGTATATTCCAGCTGGTCGACAAAATATTCTAAACGGTACATCAATTCGTCATTTATAAGGCCTACCTGCAAGAAATGACACATACCACAGGAATTCTTTCCAAACACTAACGCATTTACCCAGCATGGAAAGCTTTATATTCTATCACCTTCAGAGGAATGTTTTCGCGTGGGTTTATTTGTTGTATTGGTTGTACAGTGTGTTCAGCCTGCAGTAGATGTAGGATCTATGTAGATGTGACATGTACACACAAACTACTGTCTTCCCTCAAGTCTGGCACACCATATACTTGACGTATAGGATCATAAACATACTAAACATACTCTGGCAGTATGGACGACTTCACGATACTTACTAATCAGTGTGCGAAATAGCCACTGGCCGCTAGCCCGTGGCTAGTAAAAATCCGGTCGGGCCAGTAAATCTCCAAGTCACTGGCACGACTGACTAGCGAATTTTCATGGGGTCACTTTGTAAATATATCACTCTCTCCGACTTACTAAGTTATAATACACTTTTAAATCATGCAAGATTATGGCCTGATAAAAATGTTCATCATACTAGCAGCCTAATGATGAAACCCGTGTCTTCATTCAAATTTCGTACTAGTGAATTATTTTGTGGGCTGGTAACTTTCAGGCATAGCTAGCCCGACTGGCTAGCAAAATTTGGAAACTATTTTGCACGCTGTTACTAATTATAGATTAGACGTTGATTGCCGGGTACCAGGACTGCAGTCCTCCATGAACTGATCACATTGACCAACCAGAACGTACATTTGGAATGTTTTAAGGCATTTTGCACCTGCTTTATCGTACGCCAATTTGAGGTGTCAGAGAGACACAGTTGAGGAGATGTTTGTTGTTTTCAGTTATCAAACTGTTTTCACGATTACATAAACAAACAGTTAGTTACCAAAAGAAGTTTAGAGTCAACAAATATTCTGGCATTATAAGAATGTTGCCGAGAAAAGGCAACGTCATAAGAATGTGTGCCTCGCGGTTGTACTTGAAGTAGACAATATCACATTATACCATCGTACCTTGTATCAGAAACAATGTCTCAGTAGAACACCGTGGTGCTGGCATTGTGGTGACAGAGGGATATATAGTTAGAAGTAGTCGGTATACATATATGCCAGGTATTTGTACGTAGTGGAGGGTTTGCCCCAATTTTCCCATTCCTTCACATAAAAATGACTATTTCCACTGACATTTACTCGAACTCCATAAAACTTTTAAAACGGTATTATTAAGTGATCTGGGCTAAATTCGTATCCTCCCTCTGATCAAGGATCAGAATGTCGTTTGTTGAGAACTTGTTGAGGACAGCACGACACATACATGTACAATTTATTCAAGTCCCTTGGACTTCTACCTTGCGATATTTCCTTAACGTGAGTTGTGGCGGTGGGGTAGCCTAGTGCTTAACGCGTTGGCTTGTCACGCCGAAGATCCGGGTTCGATTCCCCACATTTCTGGTGTCCCCGTCGTGATATTGCTGGAATATTGCTAAAAGCGGCGTAAAACCATACTCTCACTCATTGACAGGATTTTCTCACTAGGAACCTGCAGTAGAGTTTATGTCATGTCAAGAATAATTTTCAAGTAGTTCAATAAAAGCAGTAAAAGAAGAAAAAATAAGGGATGTGTATCATGTTATTATTCAACACGTGCTTTTAGAAACTAAAATATATATACTTGGGGATTCCAGGTAAGAATTTGTCCCGAGACACATATGCTTGTCGTGAGAGCTGACTCGAGTTATCGGGTGATCCCGCTCGTCACTGGATTGTCTGAGTCGGCCTTGAATATGTACCGGCAACGACCATGAAGCAAGAACGAATATTGACTAGTGCGACGTTAAAAAACAAACAAGCTTATCATTTGAGATAATGCTCACGGAGGACGATATTTAACTGAATACCTACCTGGGATGTGACAAATCTTTGAGGTTCATTGTGGCCCAGTGCAAAGTTGCACGTACGGAATTCACTTCTAATACCCATGACAAAACATCCACATCAGTATGTCACATCAGTATCCTAGATTCCAGAGTCAGATAATGACAATGAAACGACACTTGCTCAACAAACAAAGACTCTCTCCCTTTCATCAGCTACCCGATAAGACATGGCAATTTGTAACCACACCTGAAAGTACGGGTTGTCTGAGCAAGATCATCCAAGGTCTATCTCAAACACGATAAATTAACAGAAATCAACATTAATCCTGAATCAAAGAAACATCCACACGTCCAATATCCACACACATTGCCACTACGAGTTGTAGGCTGAGTGTGCTATTTCATTCATGAGCGGCCAATGTCAGGTATAGGCTGCCTCCAACCATCTGGCGCCGTGAGATGCTGGCATCATTTATATACTCCCAGAGTACTGGAGGAGCCGCCAAACAGAGGCACTCGGTGGCAGTTGGGCTGCTGAAGAAAATGTAGTGAAAAGGTTGATGAAGAGTAGTATGAGAGCGAGCGAGATAGGAAACGAGACGACTCTCGGTTTTGTCCTGTTTTTGTCATGTTGTCATGGTGTCATGATGCATGATAAAATCGTGTTTTATTACAGGTTCCGAAACATCTGAAGCCGTAGTGGTGTCGATTGTGATGCAAAAGCTTAACAAAGGAAAGAAATTACTGGCAGTTCGATTTCGTCTACAGGCCACGTATTTGCTCGAGTTGTCAAAGTTTACCAAGGCAATTCGCCTAGGAAATAACACGTTTTTGTTTGTTTGTTGTTTAACGCCACATAGCTCTATGACGCCGGTATGTAAATAATCGAGTCTGCATAGGTCAGTCCAGTAATTGACAGAGTGAACCTCGATATACACAACTGGAATACGATAACATGCATCACCTTAGTCCGCGAGTCCCATTAGTCGCCTGGACAAACGTGGGTTGTTGAATACCAGTTCTAATCCAGATATTCACTGGTCACAGCTTCAGAGATATTGCTGATTAAACATCGTTCAATAATCATCAAGACCCGTGAAGATCCGGGTTAGAATTGGTCTTCAGTAACCCATTGTCGTAAGAGACGACTGACGAGATCGGGTGGTCAGGCTCGTTGATTTGGTTGCCATATGTCATCGTATCCCAATTGCGCAGATCGATGCTCATGCTGTTGATCACTGGATTGTCTAGACTCGATTAGTGACAGACCGCCACCATATAGCTGGACTATTGCTGAATGCGGCGTAAAACAACAAACCAACCAATAATCATCAAATGGCTAACTCACTTTCAGGAGTTACCCTCCAGTCTTTGAATATAGGAGGCGAGTTACACTTGTTCATGTCTGCACTAGTCTCTTAGGTAATAATAAATAGTTTAAATGATAATTTCTATGCAGCGAGGAATACTTTCCACGAGAGAGTGTAGGGGAGGACCTCCCTTAATGACGTGCGATATTGTAATAGCTTCAACGTTTGCTTTTGGCGTACAATCAGACATGTTCTTTGTACCGGGATTTCAAAGGGCATGTAATGATTCTTGCTCCGAAGGCCAAGGTCACAACATCGATTCCTCAGTAAAGGTTCAAACGTTTTATGATAGGCGTGAGGAGGACAGTCTAAACTGGACGCATCAGTGGTGTAAGATGCAATTACCTGTTTTGACTTGAAGCAAAAGTTCCTGTCGTGTTTTAGGTGAACAGATACCTTTGCATGTGTTTATGACGTTTCAACCGAAGCAATCAGTACCCTGAGATCCAAGTCACTCACAAGAAGAGTTGCTGTTTTATGCGTTCATGTAAATATTAAATAATGTCCGTCAAGTCCGCCATGTTCAGTGAAGGTCAATAGAAATTATACACCTGGAACTGGCCATACATTTACTAACGTTATCCAGTGGTATCTATTAAACAAAATCATTGACGTGATAGATGTAATATCCTCCATACAGTCTGTTTCAAGTACTTCAAGACCATATAACCGTCTCTTGTTTGTTTCTTGTTAAACCATCATTAGCAATGGGTGTATGGGCGGCAGTTTATGTATGTATTTGAAAGTAAATGATTCAAGCTTATCCTTACTTCATATTAAGTAATTATACATCGCCCGATCATTGCGTCTATTGTAGATAAGTGATAAAATGAAATGGGGATCGCGTTTGGGATGATTACACTTACTTAACGACATGTATGCACGTGTGTGTTTGTGTGTGGCTTCTTGTTCTCATGCCGGTTTCAAAATCTGAGATAGAGTGTTGCGGCTTCATATAGGTGTCCCTGTCAGACACGAAAACATGGCAACCAATGCTTGTGTTAACCTTATTGCTGAACTTTTTAAACAAGTACTATCGTTTAGCGTCATGCGTAATAGACAGACGTGTTGTGGAAACAGACATGAATGTTACAGACAAAAGTGTGTTTGCCACGTGAAGAAGAAAGGTTTTCCTACGGTAGAATCTGTCACCATTCTCGCAAAAAATGTCTGTCAAACCTGTACTTTTTTGTTCTTATTACTATTCACTATTTTAAGTATTTCATATTTTAACGAGTTCAGATCTGCTAACCATTTCACACCCTCGAGATACGTCAGGACACATTTTTCATCTGTCATATTCAACAGCAAATTCCAAACAAGCTGAAAGCCGGCCAATAATAGAATTTGAGAAACTGATAATCCAAGTTAAACATATTCCATCAGAATGAAGACTTATGATTATTCTTTATGTAAATATTACTTAAATAATATTCAAGCTCTTTCAGCTAACCAAGTACAACTTCACACCTAAAGTGCTTAACAAAAATTCATTATATATATATTAGTTATATACCATGTAGTACTCATACGACAACGTCAACAGAGAACAGCAAAATTAACTTTGACACCCTGGTCTTTCAGTACAGTTTTGCTTGGCATTGTCTGAAACTAAAATATTTGCTCAGCGCCAATGCGATTTGCCAGTCTGCTACATCTGTGATCGAATCACATGTGTACGGGTGTATTTTCCTCAAGGGATGTCTTCCTATCACAAACATGTTTAACCATAACGTTTACATGAAACGATCAGTAAACAATGATATGTCACCTTGTTCATAGCGTGTTTCCTGTGTACTGTGTGCAACACATCATCCCATGACCTCTGGGGTGGATATATTAGCAAGCAAGCAGTAAAGCCTGTGAATCAATCACAACGTTGGTATGTCCGATCACTTGTGTCGCTGTAAACCATGGCATGCAATAGAGATAATTCTTTGCCAGAGAATAACCAGTCTTACTTTTCCGAAGAAACAGGCACCAGAAATCACAACAACGTTGACAGGTGAATGGACGAACCACTGAAAGTGATAACACCAGATGTTCGGAAAAATGGTAAATGTGTTCTACAGATACGATAGAAGCCGCCATCTTCATCTGCATAAAAATATTAAACGTTTATGTTTACAAAATTATGGAAAGGATGAACCTAAAACGAATCTAAATCTAAACTCTAAATAGACAGACCCGTGATGGACTAGAATTCTGGGCCCAAGGTGTAGCGTTTCATTTTATTTTGCCGAAACAAAAATCAGCATATGAATTAATGGACACCACCCGAATTAAACCCATGTATTGAACAGATGAGCATCTAAGCGGTTGGACATTTTGAAGGGCGCCTTAGCGTAGTTGTTCAATGACGTAATGGCACAGTCTCATCCATTTAATTATATTCTGTCTTTCCTGAAAATGAATGACAAGATGCAGTGAATAGCATGATTTTATGCGTATATTTTCCGGTAGACTGTCTAAGGCGCCAGGCTAGTAATCCAGCGAGCTTGAAGGATGCCGGGTGTCAAAAGACCTTGGATTCAACTTTGTGTGCAGACTCTTTCAGTGTTGTCACAACTCCTAGTGTACAGTACACAACCCTGTGCACTTAAAAGAACCCACGAATCCGTTGGTAGATGACCAGATGGTGGCCACATGAATACGTGCAAACACCTTGTTGCGGGTACAGCAACGTGCAGTAAACTTGGACATAGTGCTGTGACTATGTGTCCCAGTTCACCCAGCTGTGAATGGGTACCTCGTAAGGGTGGAAAACACACATTAACTCGATGCGCCTAGTAGGCAGCAAGAGTTGTATGATCCCCAGGGAGTTGAGATTGAAAAATACGATATGCCGTTGTGATGGATATCCAATGATCGAGGGAAAACAAAGCGCCTTTGAGCAGTTGTACTGGATATCGGCGCTATACAAATGTATGTATGTATGTATGTATGTATGTATGTATGTATGTATGTATGTATGTATGTATGTATGTATGTATGTATGTATGTATGTAAATATGTATGTATGTATGTATGTATGTAATTGAGATTGAATGTTTTACTGTGTAGCTGAATTGAGATTGGTTCATCGTATGTGAATGAATACTCATGGTCTGACGAGCTGATACCAAGTTGTTAACATAGTTGTTAACATATGCCAGAACACCTAGCTCTGTCGAGATAAATACGTATACCCAATTATGTGAATTTTACATCAAGATGTAATTATGAAGTGTAAACAAGGCAATGGATTTATACAATGTCCATGGGTGCTCAGCGCTGACACAGACACAATATCTTATGCGATATGTTCGCAGGGCTCAGTCCTTCTGTAACCATTCTGGTTTTAGTCCATCCATGAGTGAGTGAGTTAAAATTTAACGTCACATCGGCAATATTGCAGCAATATCGTGACGAGAACAGTTGATATCAATATTCAAATCAATAAATGTTTGGTCCATCCATGATACAACCCAGAATATGTGGAGGATGTCACTGAATATTATGATTAAATAATCCTTTGGATTTGGCACATAAAAACCATAGACAAACCTAGTCATTTTGTGTATCATACCATTGTTGTCCCTATTGACATCAATGGGATTGACAAGGTCCAGAGAAAACACTGCTTCCGAGATGTCGCGCTTGCATCCCAAGTCCTAATTACCAAGTTGTCCTATTCCCCATTGTTAAATTGTGCCTTAGTTTGGGCATTTAACTGGCCATTATAGAGTACCCGGCCTTGCTGCTTGGAACATACCAGTTCTGACACTGCAGAGGTCACAGTGTTGAGCGGGGGAGTCTCCATATTGTCCAAAGAGGGTTGTATAAGACTCTGTAGACTCTCATACTGCCAGACATAACTTAGAGGACCAACTTCAGCTAACATACCACTTGAGCCAAATGTGAATGAGCCGGATGTGCATTCTGATGAGTCTCGGCAAACATGTCTTTGAGAATTATAAGCATCTCGTGTTGTTCAGCACGACCCCATGTACGTGTGTGCTCAAGGCACTATGCTGGAGAGACATTATACCAATTATCGTCTCGTGCTCCTTCACATATT